TTGTATATGTGTGTATGTAAGTGTGTGCATGTATGCATGTGTGTGAGTTGCTATAAAATTTTTGTGTGTGTGCATGTATATATCTATGTGATCACTTCAGTTAGGTGTGTGTGTGTATGTGTGCCTATATATGGGCTCCACAATGTTTCTTAGGATGTGCAGAGGGAGATTACATCCCGAAGCAGATGAAAACATCTTTATTTCAACATACTTGCTGCTATTGGTGTAAAACTTTATGTGTTACATAAATAATTGTTTTTCTTGTGACTATTAAGGAAGTATTTTTGTCGCCTAGCAACTAGTGATGAGGATGGTAAGGAGACCTTCAGTCCTTGTGGCCACCTCTCTTTAACTTTGACAACTATTTTTCATCTTCTCATTATCTGAACTGTGACAAGGCTGTATCAATGCATGACTCTCTCCTGCTTAATAGGCCCTTTCCAATCTGACTATTCATGTCTCATTTCAGCCTTATAAATTTCCCAACCTTCATTTCCTCATTGTCTTTGTTCTTCTTTCTAGAACTCCCATTAGTGGAAGGATGAGCCATTTGAAACAATTTTCTCTCTCTCTCTTGTCATTTCCCCTACGCCGACTCTCCCTCCTTGTGCTGGGGAGAGTGCTCTTTGCTTTGTGTGGAGTTTTGATGCTTGCTCTTTTCCAGATGAAGTGTTTAATTTGCGAGTCTTTTTTCTACAGTCATGGTTTCATTTTCAAAGCATCTTTTATGGATTTGCATATGCAATCTCCTTTCAAACATCCCAGGAAGTAGTGTTCACACAGGACACCATTATTCTCTGAATTTAACTTTGTTAATCAGAGGTCGTGTTTTTTCCTCATTTATCTTGGGCTTTGTATATCAGCTCGGTCATTTATGCTCTCTGCGGCTGCTTGGTTCTTTCTTGTAGGTACGTGTGCAGTCTGGTAAGAGGCCCCATCTCCTGGTCACTGTTTTCAGAAGTCTGTTTATTCTCTGCTCAGCTTTAGCCATCATTCACCCACCTTGCAGAAAAGATTCCAAGGAGCTTTGCTTTATAATAATTGGTGGAGGTTTTTACATTTTAAAAATTATTTTATACTCTGCATAGTAACTCTTGCATGCTGTGGGCAGGAGCATAAGCAGATCCAGCTGTTCTAGGAAATCAGCCTGAGGTTTCTCAAAAAGTCAAAAACTAGAACTAGCATGGGACACAGATATACACTATTCCTGTGTAAACATACAAAAGACTCCAGTCAGCACAAAGCCGGGACGCCTGCATACCCATGTTCGTCGAGGCATTCTTCACAAGAACCATGTTCTGGAGTTGTGTTGATGTTAACAGATACATCAGCAGATGAACAGATGACAAAATATGATATGCACATTGAATCATGAGGAAGAATGAAATTATGCCATTTTCAGGACTTCGATCCGAAGCCCCTCAAATAATAATTCCCAGGAAAAGAAAAATATTCTGGGGAATGACTAAATAAAATTTAAAATTTAACCTGTTTCTTCATTATAGTGCTTCTTTGAAGAAGCTAAAGTTCTTGATTTGAAGATGATATGGTTTTATACATAAGAAATCCTAAAAAAAATTATGAGGAAACTTCTACAGTTGATAAGCACTTTCAGCAAAGCAACAGGATACAAAATTAATTCACAAAACTCAGTGGCCCTCATATATACAACTGACAAATAGACTGAGAAAGAAATCAGGGAAACAATACCTTTCACAATACCCTCATAAATATATTGGCATAATCATAAACAAGTAAGTGAAAGACTTGTGTGATAAAACCATCAATCAGTTGAAGAGTTGAGGACACCAGATTGATAAATCTCCCATGCTCACAGATCAGTAGGATTAGGATAGTGAAAATGGTCATCATCCAGAAAGCAATCTACAGATTCAATGCAATCCCCATCAAAACACCAACACAATTCTTCATAGAAATTGAAAGGACAATGTTCAGTTTCTTATGGAAACACAAGCAACCCAGGATGGCTAAAGCAATCTTGAATAATAAAAGAACTGCTGGGGAGGCATCGCCAGCCCTGAATTCAAGTTGTACTACAGAGCTATCGTGAAACCGACAGCATAACAGTGGCATACAAACAGAAACTTTCATCAGTGGAATCAAACTGAAGACTCGGACATGAGTCCACACACTTGGGGCACATGAGTTTTCATAGAGGCGTCAAAAATACACACTGAGAAAAAAATGACATCGTCAGCAAATGGTGCTGATCAAATTGAATGACTACATGTAAAAGCCAAGTAGACCCACACTTACCACCCTGCACAAAACCCAGTTCCAAACAGACCAAACATAAGATCAGAAGGTACCCTGAATCTGATAGGAGAGAAAGTTTGGAGTAATCCTGAACTCACTTGCACAGAAAGAGATGCTCTGAGCAGCACACTGATAGCACAGGTACTAAGAACAACAATTGATATATGGGACCCTATGGAACTGAATAGCCTCTGCACAGCAAAAGGCACTGTCATCTAGACAAAGTCGCAACCAACAGAGTAGAAAAGAGCTTTGCCAATTTTGCAAGTGATATAGGGTTAATATCTAAAATATATAAGTAGCTTTTAAAAAGTCTGAACATTAAGAAAAAACAATTTAAAACTGGGGTACAGAGCTAAACAGAAAGTTATCAAAAGATGAAACCTAAGTGACTAAGAAATACTTAATGAAATGCTCACCATCCTTAGCCACCAGGGGAACACAAACAAAATGGCTTTGAGATTTCATCTTTCACCAGTCAGAAAAGCTAAGATCAATAAAACAAATGACATGAGGGCTCATGCTGGGAGAGATGTGGAGTAAAGGGAACACTCATCCGTTGTTGATGGGCAGCCACGGTGGAAATCAATGTGGTGCTTCCCCAGGAAACTGTATATAGATTTACCTCAAGATCCAGCTACGTAGCTCTTGGGAATAAACCCAAAGGACTCGACGTCCTACTGTAGGGACACTTGCTCATTCATGACAATTGCTGCTCTACTCATAATAGCTGGAAATTGGAAATAGCCTAGATGTCCATCAACATATAAATGGATGAAGATGATCTGGTGAATTTACACAATGGAGTATTATTCAACTGTTAAAAATTGAAATCATGATATTTGCAGGCAAATATATGGGACTAGAAAAAAAATCACCCTGAGTGAGCTAACCCAGACCCCAAAAGACAAATATGGTATGTATCAATTTATATGTGGATGTTAGGTTTTAAACCGTCAATAGGCATACTACAATCCATATAGTCACAGAGCTTAGGTATAGTCAGGATAGGAGGATCTTCCAAGGAAGGTAAAATAGAACACATAGAATCTCAGGACCTTTAAATCACAGCCAGTAACCATGAGAAACACAGAACATGTTACTCATTCTAAAATTGATTTAAATGAAGAACACCTTTTGAGAAAGTTCTCCCTAGCAAGTTTAGTAAATTCACAAATGAAGAAAGATGACCAAGCTCAGAAAGAAATATCATATTGCCACTTAATTATAAATTATATTTATCTTAAAGATAGAGACACCATTTACACACATAGAGAGAGAGAGAAAGAGACAGAGAGAGACAGAGGATGAAAATTAGGGGAGGGAAAGAGACTGATAGGAGAAGGTAAGGAGGAATATAGAGAAGGTAGGGATGGTAGGAGGGTAAAAATATCAAAGTATATAATATCCTTGGAAGAAATTGTCTTCATGAAATCCAGCATGATGTGAATGCATATGTATATATATGTATATATACACACATATACATGTATATTATGTAAGAAATTTTTCTAAAGAGAATCATACTACACAAATAACAAAACTATGATAGGCATGGTGTTGGTAGTAGTTAGGTATCAGACTTGATAGAGACATAAGACAAGGACAGGACTAATCTCTCTTTTCTCCCTGAGCAATTACCTAGTCAACAAAAAGCCCAGAGTTTTAATTTTCTAGTGAATTAACTTAAGTAAATGGCCCAATTGCTCTAGTTAATTAGAACAACCTTCTAGGATTATTGCTAATAACCCATTAAATAATCCCAAACTGTATACTGCAGAAATCTTGTAAAACTTGTTCATAAGTAAACTCTGAAAAGAGATATGTGAGTCCCCTACCACTCTTAGTGACTTACTGTGACTTAAAGGCTCTGAAAACCACTGTGAGAGAAACTGATTAAATTTTAAACCTCATTTAATAACTCCCCAGAATATTCTTGCTTCTAATTCTGGGAATATCTCTATAGGGACTTGGGATTCAAGTCCACTAACGGAGTCCTGGGTCATGAGTAGTTTCTTAACATGAAATCAAAACCAGAATCTGGTTTTTGGCCATATATTCCTAAAGGGAATGGCATGAGAGCGTTTGGATTCTGTTTCCTGGGTCACCAGTGGTTGCAGTTTGATAATGAAGGTAATGGCCTGGTTGGAGTGAACACAGCAGATGGTGGGAGGAGAAGAGGGATACAAATATAGACAACCTGAAGGAGTTTGTTTTGTGAGAAGACGGGGAAACAGGTGGCAGCTATTGGTTGATGTGGTTTCAACGGATAGGGTTTTCCAATGGGAATTACTACAGCATGATGTGCTCTGACAGGCACAAGCAAAAGACAGACAGGCCCACCATGCTGGCCGGAGCACAAGGATAGCATATTTTATCCACTCTCACAGAGGAGAAAGCCAAGGTGCAGGGAGGTGAAGTGGTTTAATTATAAACCCACAACTGATACGTGTGTGGATCAGTATCTACTTTAGGAATAGGTCTGAAAATTGGCTGACTCAAATGATTGGGTTGCCAGGATCTGGGAAGGTGCATCCATAGGACATGATTCAAATATCTCCTTCCCAAGTCATCGGCTCAGCCCTTTCTCTGTACACCATGCACAAGCTGGCTTAGGTAGAACTCAGTGACAGGTACCTACCTAACATCTTGATTTCATCTCTTATTGATTATAGGGAGCCTTAGAAACCAGAGGAGCTGCTGGCTACACCAACTTCCTCCAATTCCCTTCTGAACATCTGCTTACTATAGGAAAAGTCACCCACCTCATTGCAAAGCCGAGGAGAGCGGTGAAGTGCCCATGGGCAGGACACCTGTCTCTAAGCACATTTCAGAAACAGACTTTATTCATCGTCTGGGGTAAGCATGCTACTTTATTTTCTTCATATATACTGTGAGGGCTATAGATTTCTACAGGTTTTGCTGTGATTGCTTTTCGTTTTTTTTATTGAGAATAGGAAAAAAAAGTTTCTGCCTCCTCCCAGCCTCCCATTTCCCTCCCCCTCCCCCACTCGTCTCCCCCCCCCCCC